GGCGGCGGGCGGGCGGGCGGGTCGGTCGTCGTCGCGCGGCGGCGCGACGTACGACGTACGACCGACCTACCCGACCCTACGTTCGTCCGTCCTCGTCTCCTCCTCTCTCTCTCTCTCTCTCTCTCTCTCTCTCTCTCTCTCTCTCTATCTCTCACACACACGCAGCGGGTGGTGTTGCTCGAGTCGTGGAAGACGTTTGAGCAGACGCACGGCGACGCCGAGTCGCTCGAGGCGGTGCAGGCCAAGATGCCGCGCGTCGTCAAAAAGCGGCGCGAGCTGGGCGACGGCAGCGCCGACATGGAGGAGTACTACGACCTCCTCTTCCCGGACGACGAGGAGCAGGGCAAACCGTCGTTCAAGCTGCTCCAGATGGCCCACGCCTGGCGGGCCGCCCAGGCCGCGAAAGCTGCCGCTGCCGCTGCCGCAGCTGGCGATGGCGCTGCAGAGGACGGTGCAGAGGGCGGTGCAGAGGGCGGTGCCGACGGCGAGGCACACGAGGGGACCGACCAGGCCGAGGCCGGCGACGCGCCAGACGGTGTGCCGGCCTGAGCAGGCGGGCGGACGGGCGGACGGGCGGACGGGCTCCTTCTGTAGTCGAAGCGCGGCCGGGGAATACAAGCCTCCCTGGCCTTTGAGGTGCGAATTTGAACTGCGGCGAATAGAATTCTGAAGTTTGTATTGCCACAATACAAATTGCCTTCCCAGATGGATCACGTGCTCGGATCAGGGCTGTCCGCCAAACTCGGAGGCGCACGTGACCGACCCCACTTCGAAAAAGCTGGCTAGCGGATTCCCCTGCCAAAAACGGGCGGATTTGGAAAATCGGCGCTCCAAAAAGGGGCCCTGCACGTGACCTATTCCAATACAAGCTCGGCTTCAAGTGGGAATACAAGCGTTTTCAAACTGACGCGATACGGCATTTGAAATGCCGGCTAGCGCGATTTAAATTGCCACTAGTGCGGATTAAGGGATGTGGAGCCGGGGCGGGGCGGGGCAGGGGCAAGGGGCAGGCGGGGAGATGCACGGTATGCCGGATCGAGGGCGGGTAGCGGACGGGCTGGGCCACATGCGGGGACGCGGGGCTGGGAATGCCGGGGCTCAGAGGAAGCGGCGACATCCGGGCGAGTCGCACAGACAGGCGATGGCATCCTCGTCGTCGGCCGAGGCTTGGACTGTCATGGGGATGGAGTGGGAGGGAAGGGGGAACAAGTGGCGCCGCGGAGGAGACAGGCAGCCCAGTGTCAGTCAGTCGGGGGCCAGCAGGGAAGGGGACGCGAGGCGCGGATGCTTACACTTGTAGTCGTAGGTCAGCTCGTCGCCGGGCTCGATGAGGGTGCGTGCGCTGGTGGAGCGGGGCCGAGGAGCGACGACGACCATGAGACGAGGCGAGGCGAGGCGAGCGTCAGCTTTCCGTTTGCGCGCTGGGTGCTCAGCGGACTCTATAGGACAGACTCACAAAAGGACGATGCGCTTCTCGCCGTTGAGCGTCAGGATCTTGGCGTTGCAGTTGGGAGTGCAGCAGTGCTGCGAGAGGGCGCGATGGCGGCAGACAGTGCATGCGACGTTGTGAAGAGGAAAAGAGAGAGAGAGAGGGAGAGAGAGAGAGAGAGAGAG